TGCTTCAAATTCAGAAGTTCTAAGAGCTGTCGTCACATCCACGTTCTTCATTTAGAACAATGAAATGGGGGATGGGTGGGGGTAGGTGGGGGAGGTGATGGCTAATGTTGAAGCTCAGCTGTTACCTAATCTTGTTCTGCAGGCTACATCTATAGAGACAGCTTCTACAAAATAAACCACACGTATGGAGGTGGAAGTTAGTGTTGTAAACATGCACGGTGCTCGTAGCTGAACCCTGACAGCCACATAAAACTAAAAGATGAGGATTCTTGCAAACAGATTATCAACAAGCATCAAAGCTTCCAGAACAATATTTTAAATATTATGATACACATTCTTGCCTGAAGGATTTCTGAGGAAGATATGACGCCGCTGACGCTGGAAAGGGTTTGTGTGCATTTCTGCCTGGTTGTGGCACACCTTCCATCGCCACTCCGGCGTCTTTTAACAAGTTGAGATAATGCCCTGGGCATACCCTCAGACAGGGTGTGGAAGGCAGTGGCTGGGTGCCATTGTTGTTAACGAGACGCCAGGTTTGTGTTCAGTGCCAGACTGGCGGAGGCGTGAACATGGGTGGTAAAACTGACTAATACATGCCTCCACATCTGTCATATTTACGTCTTCATTTCACGCAAATGACACATTAATAACAGTTTATCACTCTTGATCTTACTCCCTTTCTCCCCCACCTTACGCAGTGAGTAAACTGCTTCTGCACTAGCCATCAGACAGACCACAGTCTCCTGCATTTCCTCCTTCCCACTTGCTTCCCCTTTCAATTTTTCAGCTGTCGTTAACCAATTCTGTATTGTGGTGTGTCTGCTGCGGCTACCATGCATGGCTTCCATAGTGAGAGTGTGTAAGAGAGTTAATGAGAACTGAACCTGGGGTCACACATTTTCCTAGAACTGCTGGTGGCCTGACTGTATCTCGTTGTGGTGTCATCAGTCTAGACTACATGTGGTTAAAAAAACAGGAAACCAGATTGCAAAGACAAGATAACCAAACTGCTGAATGTTTTCATCTTACTGGAACAAGCAAGATGATTGATTGGCTTGAACAAAAGCAGTCTGTGTGTCAGGATACTGACCTCTCGTAAACAAGTGTAGATGGGACACACCAGCACCCTGAACGGGTCACCGGAGCTGCTCCTCATGGTGCCAAACACCTCACATAAGAAAGTGATGAAACCCAACCACTGCTCCACATCGGACTGCTGGAGCTCCTCTCGGCGGGAAAAGTCCCTCTGTTTACGATGGAGAAACACAGAAAAAGAGGAATATTTACCGGTAGTTTGATGAAAACACAGAACCTTAAACAGCACATACGCAGAAATGTGAATGTGTTATATAAGCGGCCAGCAGGTGTTTAAATGTGTATAAATTTAAACATTATCTTTCCTTTCTGAGCCATTAATCACTGTTAACATCTCTGTGATCTCTCTAATGGAAGTTTAGGTAGGTTGCACACATATTAACCTTACACTTTAAGGTACTTCAAGCTAAAAAAAGCAAAGGAAATTTGACATTAAATAATTTGTCTTTTATGTGTCAGAAAAGATCAGCGTATGTTGGTTTAGTTTCAGAGTGAGGAAGGTGAACTGTGACTGTGCTGGGAATGTATCGGGGTTAATATGGGTAAATGCTTAATGCGCTCTCATACAGATGTTATTCTGCTGGTTAAAATGAAACTTTATTAACAGTCACTGCAGCTGCTTCTAAATTAATACTGTTCCTGAATGTACTCCTCAGTTAGAAATAAAGCTTTGGGAAAACCAGACCAACTTATAGTCTCCCACATAAACCTCCTTGTGAGCAGACAGGTGATAAAGTTTTGTATGGGTTCAACAGAAAACTCATTCTGCTGCCAGATCCCCAAACAGTACCATAAAGTTATTATCATTAGTGAACAAACCACAAGCTCCACTTTATTGAGCTACACAGACAAAAGTCTTTAACAGGTAAAATGGTGATAATGTTTAAACAAAAAAAACTTAATTACCTCCTTTTAACTGGCAGAGCTAAACTAATTGCCCCCATATTGAGATCCAGGAGTCTAATGGCAACATCACTAATGAAGACCTCCATCAACCCGCTTGTGACATTTAAGAATGTTTTATAGCATAAAAGCCAAAATGTCAAAGGCAAGTAGGGGGTCTGTGCTGGCTGGGAAGTGAAGATTAAGGCTGGAAATAAAAGGGGAGAAGGAACCACACAGCTGTGATCGAGGGGAAATAAATGAAAAGCAGACAAGTGGGGTCCAAAACGAACCAAGGCAGGGATGATCAACTGCTGGGTTTGGGATAAAAATGGAATTAGATGAGAAAAATGATTTTAAAACAGAAAGACAAAATGTTTTGTTTGCTTGCTTTCGGGACTGTCTGCCACTTTGGTCAGATTGTTTGACTCTCAAGACAGACTGAACGAGTTAAGAGCGGAAGGGATGACAACAACATGGAAACAGCAGAGAGAAGTAGCGATGCACTGGTCCGTGCTGTAATGGGTGACAGGAGGTGATAAGACATGGAAACATGGGAATAGAGAGCTCATGAGGGACGAGGAGGGGGTAGAGCAAAGGAGAGAGCGGCTGTAAAGTATGTAACGCCTCAGAGGATGTTTTCATCGAGGGTGCGAGACTGGAACGTGCAGTAAAGTGAAGGGATGGAAGGTGAAAGAGGAAGCAGGTCTTCTTGTCCTCAGGGAGTTCAGATTAGTCATTTTGTCCACTGACATATACATCTCCCAGTTAGTGGGCCTCCACCTGGAGGTACTTCCTCCTAAAACTAATCTTAAATCAAACAGCTGAAATGACAAAGGAGATGATGTACATAAAAGGGCACAAGTGCTCCCGTTGATCTATTAAATTATATTATTTTACTTGATTACACAGACAAAATGAATGGGGAACTAAAGTTTTAGCTGTACATTTTAAAAATAAGGCAGATAAAAAACATTTTATAGTTAGTTGTACAAGAATATATATATATATTTTTAAATAAAAAAAATGAAAAAGATGCTTTAAAATGTGTCATACTGTTTTAACAAGTAGTTCTTTGAGGCTTATTTAAGAGTTTTTAATCTGTTTCCCACTCAAATAAAAGCATAAATATGTCTTATGTTTTCACAAAAATTATGTTAATTTAAACAATCAAACCTGGTAAGAAAAAATTAGGCAAGAGATGAAGATGTGCAGCTTCATTGATCTCTACCGGTGCTTTTACCTGCAGCATGTTGAGCAGCAGCGATCTGAACTTGGTTCCCTCCACCATGAACAGCGCCATCTTGTCACAGAGTTTTGCGGCCGTCGCTGCAAAGCTTCGGTCTGAAACGGCCTTGGAGTAGATGGTGCCGACTACCTGAGCCAGCGCCTCCTCGGACTGAGCTGAACACTGCGCTTCCTCCATGAACGAGGCCAGCTGCTGCTCCACTCCACTGCTGTTGCTCCTCATGTTGTTGAGAAGGTCCAGCAGCCGGTCCAAGTTCTGCGGTCCCGTCCGTGATTCCTTCACTTGTGCCTCCTCCTGAAGTGAAAGATGTGGTAAAAGACACAAAGAAATTTTGAAAATAAGTCTTTGGTAAGTTACCTGGAAAACGTACAAATTACAACTACGTCAGTACAGTAGTCCCCCGATACTTCGCGGTTCGACTTTCGTAGACTCACTCTTTCGCAGGTTTTCAATGTAAAATTGTACATGACACATGAATGGCTGATAAGACAGACCCCTTGCCGTTCCTTTCTCTTTCTGAGGCTGTCTGTCACAGCAGAGGAAATGGGGAAAGACTGACCCAACCCCGCCCCCTCCTTTCTTTTTCTCTGCTGTGACAGACAGCCTCAGAAAGAGAAAGGAGGGGCAGGGGGTGGGGTCTGTCTTTCCCCATTGCTACTGCTCAGCAAGCAGAGATGACCAGATCAGATGAACAAATGTAGAATATCGGAGAAAATGCTTAGGTGGAAAAATAAGAGTGAATCTAGTTTAAAAAGAGAGAGAGAGTGGCTGAACGTGGCTCATTCAGATATTAGAAAGATCGCCCCTTCCTTTCTCTTTCTGAGGCTGTCTGAAAGAGCGAACATTGTTAAGAACATTTAAAGAGTGTGGGAAGGGTTTATAAAGCCTTAATATTTATATAAATACTACAATAAATATAACGTCTTTACTTGGTGGATTTTCACCTATTGCAGGGTGTCTGGAACGTAACCACCGCGATGAGGGACTACACTCTTGTCAAGAGGCTTCAACCTCCCAGATTGGATGCTTTTAATTTGCTAGCATCACTCAGTTTATAATTATTAATTCCTGGCTTGCTGCCTGTTGGGGAGACCTGTGTTGTCAGATCAGTCCCCTCTTGGAGGTCATGAGCAAGTGAAAGAGGAAGCTGATGGCAGCAACAAAGATGGATGACTCACTCATTAATTGAGCACAATGTGTAAAAACATCAAAACCTGTTAAGGGTTCATAAAGTTCTTTACCTCCTTAGTGAGAAAACATGCTCCCCTCCCATGTGAACTCTGAACAAACATGCAGACAAATCAATTAAACCTAGCATGGAGAGACAAGTATGTCTGTACTTCTGTGTAGTAACTTGCTGTGTTTGCTTTTGTGAGCATTATAACAGTTGTTAATGAGCCACATTTAAATCTAATCTGGCTGCTTAAAACTGACGTAGCTTTTTGTACCTTGTCTTTTAGTCTCCTCCTTAGCCTTTCCTTCGACGACTGCAGAAGGTTGATTTTTGGGAGCTCAGCCTGGAGCTTGCCCCCACTTTCTGGTGGATTGGGAGGTTCCTCATTAACCCTCAGATCTGGGGGAGCATTTGTACTGGGTGCGGAGTCAGGTTTGGGACTCTTATTGTTACATTCTGGAGAAGGTTTGATTTGCTCGTCGCCCGCTTTCCCACCCTCAGTCTCGTTGTCTTTGGTTGTTTTTGGTGGCACGTCTTTATCACTAATGGTGTTTGTCTGTCCATGTCCTTGGCCTTTCTGATTGTGGTGCCAACGCCGGTTCTGGCTGTATCCGTGATGCGGGGGTCCTCCTTGGCGCTGCCCGTGTCCTCCATGGTTCAGGCGAGGTGGTCGACCAGCATTATGGTTTTTGTTGTCTCCCAGTTCTGTTGAATTTAACTCCTGGTGGTTTGGAGACAACTGTTGAGTTTGATCCCTCTGGTGCGATGGCGACTGTTGTGTCTGCTGAGGTTGGTTCTTCCCTCCTCCTCCTCCTCCTCCCCCCTGAGGTCGCTGCTGCCTCCTGGAATAAGACAGGGTTTTAGTTAGCATCTTTGCGATGTAGCAGCAGCTGCGCATGTTTTTCTTGTTCTCTTTTAGCCAACTTAGTGCTGATCAACAAACATTACAGTGACAGGTGGCAACGATTTATGAACAGTTATCAAAGTTACTATCATCAACAAATTACTGAACTATGAAATCAAAATCCCACTCCAATTACATTTGGCTGCACATAATGTCTGTGTTTTCTTATCCTGCATTGCTGCTGTCATTTTGTTATACTACCTGTAAGTCTGCCAACCACTGGACATATGGCCCAAAGGATTAGTCACCTTCACACTGGCTTGTTAACTTGCACAATCTCACCTAGCAACAGCTACAATACAGTTTATTTTAGATCAAACTGACCAAATACCTACTTGTCAACTCATGTTGTGTTGTAGACTGCAAGTAAATGTAAGCTTGTTTACACAAATAAAAAGTCAAGGTAATCTGTTTGTCAGTACTTTCCAAAAAAACAAGATAAATTGGATACACTTTGGTTTAACTGCAGAGACTGTAAATGTCAGGTATGTATATGTGCTTTGTACTGCAAAGATTTATTTTACAAAAGCATAGTAGGAACAATTTTCCCAAATAAATAAATAAATTAATGAATAAATAAAATAAAGAAAAAACTGTTTCCTACAGTATCAGATGTTGAATAGGTTGAAGCAGCAACGTCAATGTGTGAAAAGGACAGCTAATGCAAAATTCATATTGCATGAATACACAACTCCACGTCTTAATAATTATCAGTTCGAGCTCATCTAAGCATCTGCACTTTACAAAACTACGTCACAAAACTGGAGACGACTTTGAAAAGGTAGCAAAGTGTTTGCAGACAACTGTTTCCTAATTTCAACATGCGAGTAGAAAACTGTGTGCACAAAATACGGTACTTGAGGTTTGGAAGCAAAAAAGTGAAACATAAAATAATAAGAATTAAAGTAAATAAAATAAAACTTGTTTTGAAACCCCTCCTCAAACAGCGATGCTTGCTCTGAGGCTTTTTTCACTTTTCAGCCCACTAAAAAGTGAAAATGGAGTCTTGCGTAAAATATTAAATAAATAAAATCTTGAACTATATGTCTTTTGGAATTTAAATATTTTATTTTTTTACTCAAATTCCAACTAAATAAACAAATATATAATTAAAAAAGAAAGAAAAACAAAGACATTTTGTTGTCTGTTGAGCTTTATCACAGTAAAAATGTTAAAATTACTTGATGAGGCATCCATTTATTAATTTTGTGTCTCTACAGATTAAAACAAAACAAAAAAAATTGACATTAAAAGTGTTTAAAGCATTTTCAGGTAAAAAAACAAACAAAACAAAACAACATTTTAATAACTTTTGCAACATTATTTCCATTAGTTTAGACTGTGGAAGTACAGAAAGATGCACACAAACACGTTAAGACATCCCAGACACATCACTAATCCTAAAGAAACCTTTGGTGTTAAGCTTGAATTGAAAGTCGGTGGTTGTTCAGTGGAATATGATCACTGACAGCCAACAGCCAATTTATCACTCAGAATGACAGTGAATACAAAAATGATCAAGCAGTGACTGACATGTTTAGGGAAACACTGCAGAGTGAGTACCTAGCAGTGAGAGCATCCACAGCCCTCTCCTTTTCTCCATCTTCCTCCGACTGTTTATAGTCTGAATCTTATAATATTAGAGAACTTTGAACCCAACTGTTCAGTAAAAAAAAAAAATAATCTGAATGAATACCATAGGGGAGAAGTACATTAACATGTCTGTGCTCGACGATTACTTGTTTTGTGTATAAGATGAGAACACAGCAACAATTTTTATTAACGTTTTTAATATTAAAATGTTATTATTGTAAATAAACATGTTGCTCATCTCACAATGTTTGCAGTTATGAAACCTGTCCTTGCCGATAAATTTACCACAATTTAAATCAACAAGCATTAAACACCTTGGGGAATCTGAATGTAAAGAAACTGAGAGTGAATATAAGATATCGATTGACCAGAACTAAGAAAAATTATGTTTCTCTTTAAAACAATCAATGAGTCTCTACACTTACGTTAGTTTAATGTTAGCTCAGTGGGATTGTTCTTTTCTTTGAACGATGTGGAGGTAAGTGTAAGACAATAATAAAATGTTGATAATATGTAATGACCGAGCTCTGCAGAGGACTGAATGCTGTCCGTCAGTCATATTACTGTTTGAGAGATGTCTGTTTTAAAATAATAACGGAGCCAATGATGAAATTTCATCTCACAACTACGTGTTACTTAGAAACTGAACGGACTCAGCCAAGAGTAACCATCCAATCAGGTGAGGCATTCATTTATTTTTGGAGTAATTACAAGGTGTGAATCAGGTCTAAATTAATGCTTAATGTTGCCTACCGTATTTTTCAGACTATAAGGCACACTTAAAATCCTTTAATTTTCTCAAAAATTGACAGTGAGCCTTATAATCCGGTGCACCTTAAGTATTAATTCTGGTTGTGCTTACTGACCTCGAACCGATTGTATGTGGTTACTGTGAATGAGTTGAATAAAGTTTGATTATCTGACTGTTTTGTTTTACTTAACGTGCCTTATAGTCCGAAAAAATATGTAATTGGTTACTATCTTTAAAAATCTCCCCATTTCCATATTTTTTTTTCTTCTGCACTTTATTGAGGATTTGATTTAATGTCTGAGCTGAATTTCTGTTGTCTTGTTGAGAAGAATAAATCAAATGCAGTTGCTTACAGTCTAGTGAAAAGTCAAATGTGTCCAGGCTCAATTTATTTCTCAGGATCTTGCTGCTGTTGTCACTGACCTGGCTGAGACTCGTCGCTTCCCGTCTGGGCCAGGAGGCAGAAGTATGGTTAAATGGTCACGGATGATGTGATCAAATGGTCTACAAGCAGGAAAGATGCGTATGCCAAAATGCAGGTTATTGGAGGAATGGAGAGAAATTTAGGACAGGCGAGGCAGACGAAGGAAGAAGTACAGAGGTAGATTTTGTATGAAGAAAAAAAGCAGATTTTTTTTATAGATGACAAAAAAGGAGAAAATGAAAAGTAGCATTGGGTGAAACGCAAAGCAAAAAATGGAAGGAAAAAAAAAAACTACAGGTAAACAACATCATACAAAACAACACAAAACTACAGAGGTCTAAAATAATAAACAATACTATAGCGACAAACAAAGCTGAAATTAAAGGGGATATACGATCACGGGAGGGGTCAGGGTAAGAATGATCGATCAGGAATGTTTTCTGCGAACCAGTGGATAGTTCATGGGACTGATGGCTGACCCAGACAAAAATGATTCGATTGACCTGAGGGGAGAGAAGCCTGTAGGCCAGACAGTCAATACGATGGCTAAAGCTGTTCCCAGGCCACAACACGCTGACTTAATGCACTGTGGGGACAGAGCAGTTCCTGTCTGACTGAACATCTGCAAAATGACATTTGAAAAAATCTAAACCAAAAGTCTGACCCTCTCTAAACTGCAAGTCCATTCATGCTATTAGTGCTTGTATTGATCACTCCCAATATCTTCTTGCAATTAATGTCAGAAGCTGTTTGCAGAAGAGCTGCTGCAGACAGAGGTCAATGAGCTGTAATGTGATCAGATACATGGAATAGTTCAGATATTGTGAAATCAGATTGAGAGGAAAGGTTACAAACAACCTACTTGTTGCAGACAGTGCAGCATCTTGGCTAAACGAACTGTTGCCTTCTTTAAACTGCAAACTCAACAATTTTCATGTGGTTCATGGAATTGTTACTTTTGCAACCTTTACTCCAGCGATTGTTTTGCCTCACTGGTTATTCAGTTATCACAGGTTTTATTTTTCTTCTTTCAGCTGCTCCCTTGTCGCCACAGCAAACTAACTCGCATGAAGACTTGGTAATTGTTTTTACGCCGGATGTCCTTCCTGACCCAACCACAGACCACTGAGCTACCACAGCCCTCTGTGTGGAGCACAGAGCTGCCATCTAGGGAGCACAGTGGAGCTGATGGTGGGGGTTAAGGGCCTTGCTCAAGGGCTCAGAGTGGGGAAAACGATGGTGGAGACGGATGTGGGTGCTTCACCTTTCCCACCCACATTTTTGTTGTCAGTCTGGGGGATTTGACCCGGCGACCTTCCGATCACAGGAACACCTTCTCTAGCCTCTGTGCCACAACTCACCCTATTCATAATTATCACAGTTATTCACTAATATTATGCTGAGGCTGACTGCTGCTGTCATCATTTGCACCTGTAATTAACCATAAAATAACAAAAAAGGTTGAATCATGTCATCTGGACTTCGTTTTTTTGTTAAAAAGAAACGTTTCGCCCCTCATCCAAGAGGCTTCGTCAGTCTGAGGCCTAGCCATCTGGTATTACCCAGAAGCCACCCTGACTCTTGTGTTTCAAGCCTGCCTCAGATACCCCTGAAGTCTGGCCTCAGACTGACGAAGCCTCTTGGATGAGGGGCGAAACGTTTCTTTTTAACAAAAAAAACGAAGTCCAGATGACATGATTCAACCTTTTTTGTTGTTATATACCTGGATGACTGAGAAAACAAACTTTGTGTTAACCATAAAATAGTTTGTAAATAACAATTCAGTGCTAAATGGATGGGGTTGTAAAGATGTATTAAATAGAGTTCACCTGAAATGTTTAAACAAATTGTGATTGGAATTGTTTAAAGGCAGCAGAAGTCTACTTTGGTCTCGGCTTTGTTCGGACAAGCTATTAGCTTGCCAGCCCTCAGATTTAAAATATTTTTGAAAACTGTGGTCATTCAAAGAGTGATCTACAACAGGTAAGATGTTGACTGCTCGTAACCTTTTTACAGAACCTCACTTCAAAAGACCTGAACTGACACTTTACATACAAAACAAATAATTTAACTTAAAAAAAACTCGGATGCTGTTGAACTTCTAAAAAGAACAGAATGTAAATCATACTATTAATTTTAAACTAAGACCTTTTGTAAACAACATTTAATAAATGTTTAATTAAGTATAAATAACAGCTTTGACTGTCGTATTACATTGAAACAGCCAAAGTGTGGCTGGTTATAATGGTCCAAAGGGGGCTGTGGTTACTCTACTAGAATGATGGATCAATAATAAAAAGCAGAATTACACCCTGATAGAAGCTACAAGCCAGTCATTAATCATCACCTTCAGAACTTTCACAACAAAATGAAGCCAAGAGCAGGGTGCTGAAATATCTGTCTCCAGGCAACTGTACATATAACTTGTTGAGTTTTCACAAAGGTCCAGCTAAAATTTGGGGTGGGGGAACACACACATGAAAAGAAAAAGTCTAGGGTGATCTTGGCTCGAGGACATTCATTCAGTCCAACTATGACTAAGATTTATGACAAAAACAGTCAGGCGTCTGTGCAGCTTCACAAAGACATAAAAGAATGCTAACTTTGAGAGTTTAAATGAAGCTGAGCATTAAGGCCTGGTGAGTTCATAAATACAAACATTTCATCATGCATGTGAACATTTCCCCTCTTGGTTACTTCACTGCTAACACCATTTGTACAACTGAGAAGGAAGTAGATTGCTGTTAATCATTAAAAAATAATGTTGTGATCAAAGAGCATTTCTTATAAAACAAACAAGTCTTAGATTGTCCCCAATAACCAGGACTAAAAAGGTGCAAAGAGGAACAAAATATGCTCCTTCCCCATCCTCCTTCTGTTCTAAAGAAGCAGAAAGCAGTAACCAGCACATTCCAGTAAATCACAACTAATTTCAGCCCCGCTTGACGTGCCTACTAAAGTAGAAACACATGCACTACCTCCACTTTCTTTCCCATCCTGCTCCAGCCAGCTTACACTTTTCTTTCAGTCTCCTGCTCCTCTTTCTCGTGCTTGCTTCAGTACAATTCTCATGCTTCAAACATGTCAACCGATCAATACTTCCATATTTCATCAACGCTCTAGTTCAATTTTGAAATTTTTTTATTTTCTTCACCCTGCTGTGTTAACATATTACACAACAGAAAACAGCTCAGTTATATTTAGGGATGCACAATATTGGATTTTGGCCGATATCCGATATGTTAAAACTTATTTGGCCGATAACCGATAACAATACCGATATTTTTCCCTAGATCTACTTACAGATTACATAGCTTTCTCAGCTGTGGAGTTAAAATACTACATTATTCTGCGTGGTCTTTGTCAGCTTGGCCTGTTACCAAATGCAGATGCCGAAAAGGGGGATGAAAATGATGTAATGCTTCAACTGGGATTATGTTTAATGTCAGATTTATTCATGACATTTACTCTCTCTAACACAATGACAACACTCAAACAGTGCACATTTGTACATTTTCACGCGTGTGATGTCATAACATTGTGCTGGCGCTGCAGGCATCCTTGTCACTGGGTTGTCATACAAAAACATCTACGCATAAACACGTAACAACATCTAAATTGCAGCAGTT